TTGGGCTCCCACTCGAAATTGACTGAGTGTCCACTTGTGCTTGAGAGCGAGTGTACTTTTTGAAATTTATTTTTATTTATTGTCGAGGTAGGTGAACCGTGTCATTGGCATTGTGTATGTCCCTCTCTTGATTAAGGTATTGCAAATGTGTCCATATCCCCCGCCTTGTCCTCCCATCTACCCCCTCAGGTTCTCAGATTTCAGCTCCTGCTTTGATCCACGCTGGCTAGGCGAGATTTTTTTTAATGATTGTTTTTATTTGCCTTCTCTACCTTTTGGTTACATAGGCTATATTATTTAACAAAAAACAACAAAGCACTAAAGAGTTTTTTTTTTTTTTCAGGAATTTGTAGAGAGAATCTAGAATTACTCACATTTAATCAGTTATTATCACTCCTTTAAAGCTAAACTTTAATATCACCTTCTTGAAGTTAGTTAATTGTACTTATGTAACCTTTCCTTTCTCTGAACTTTTTTTTTTTTAATCCTCACCCGAGGATATTTTTCCATTAATTTTTAGAGAGTGGAAGAGAGAGGGAAAGAGAGAGAAATATCGATGTGAGAGAAACACATTGATTGGTTGCCTCCTGCACACACCCCACCAGGGCCCAGGACAGAGAGGAGCCTGCAACCAAGGTACATGCCCTTTACCGGAATTTAACCCGGGACCCTTTGGTCCACAGTCTGACATTCTATCCACTGAGCCAGACCTGCAAAGGCCCTTTCTCTGAACTTGGATATCACATTGCTTTTACCACTAATGGCATTTATAGTTTTATCTTTAGATATACATATACATAGGATTTACCATTTTTCTACTGTGTATAGAGAAATTTATAAGTATCTTTAGGGCTTGAAGTATTCTTGTCTTTCTGTTCCCTAAAATCTCTTAATAATGCCTTATATTGCCCTGATCAGTTTGGCTCAGTGGATAGAGCGTCGGCCTGGGCACTGAAGGGTCCCCGGTTCCATTCCAGTCAGCGGCATGTACCTTGGTTGTGGGCGCATCCCCAGTAGGGGGTGTGCAGGAGGCAGCTAATCGATGTTTCTCTCTCATCGATGTTTCTGACTCTCTATCCCTCTCCCTTCCTCTCTGTAAAAATCAATAAAATATTTTTTTTAAATAATAATAATGCCTTATATTATCCATAGTAACTACATTTTGTAACATTTATTGAGTTGAAAATATTTATTACACATTAGCCCTAAAGGCATCTTTACTTGTGAGGTAAGGTATCAACATTTTTCATTAATGGAGACTACCTCAATAACACCAAATTGAAAATGACCCAGGTCTGGTACAGATCCTCACTAATCTCTTGATGCCTTTGTACCCTAATCCTGAGCAGCCAAGCTCCTTCAGGACCTGAGAATGGAACTTTCATGATAAAAACTTTCCATGAAGGATGGACAGTCTTTTCAGATGCTGTGTATTAGATTTAGCCTAAAACCCTGTCATCAAGCTGGTCAGCTTTCATTTCAGTGGTGGGGGCCACGTGGGAACCCATGACTTCAGTTGTATACACCATTCTAAGATACATAAAACATGTGGAATGTCTACCCAGCCTTTGGTTTCATGACTCATATTTTTCCCTCAGACATGGTCACATATCCTAATGAGACTAGAACTGTGTTTAGGAAAAAACATCTTTAAAATACAAAGTAGGTAGGAAATGATATTTTTTATAAAGAATTTTTAAAATTGCATTTAGGGGCAGCACCTCACCTTTTTAGACTGTTAATCAGAATTGTGAATTTATATTGGTGTTTTTTGATGAAATATTTAATATTTTATTAATGCTAAATAACTATTTTAATATTAAAACTGGTGTTTTCTTTACAGAAAATCTTTGTTATAATAACGTTCAGCAAACACATAGTGGAACAGATGGTGGCTTTCATTGGGTGAGTAATTCTTTAAGGACTAATATTAGTATCACTGTTGGAATTAGAGGAAATGTATAAAAGACTTTATTGGGATAGAATTGTTGTGATAGCTCTTCATTTTTTGAGGAAATATCTTTTGCCCTATTATTAGTTAAATTGAAGACTTTCTTGAACTGCAGCAGGGAAGGATGAGGCTCAGATTAAACCGAACATAGTAAGTCATGCACTTCTTGATTTAAAAGAAGTTTCGGAGTTTGAGACTGTAGCCCCTCCAGAAAAATAAGAAATTTCTCTTTACATAAAGACATGTGTTTTGTTACAGTTTAATAATGCTTTAATACAATGCCATGTCTTTTAGCCAGATATACAGGTGCATTTAATTTAAATACAAACCTTATATAAAATATTAATCTTTCGTAGTATAAGACATGATAAGATGGCATAATATTACCAAAATATGTCAGTTATGAACCTATTACTTTGCTAGAGAAAAATCGGGCCATTTTTAAAGGCTTCTATCCAAAGCTTTTATTTTCATGTGTATAGAAGAAAGACTAGTTTTAACATATGCTTTAAATGGTAGTGTTACAAATTTTGGTAGTTCACATTGATAAAACAGTAAAGAAAAACTCATTTTGTTTGGTTAATCAAATTAGCTGTCAACTGGAATGTGAGTACTGTCAGATATTAAATGAAACTTTTTAAATATGTGAATTTTTATTCAGTGTTTACAGGAGAGAGGTTTTTTTCCATTTAATAGCATTACTGACCCATAGTGGGAAAGTGTTACCTTGAAGTGTCCTTTATGTAGTTTTGGCATAAAATTTTATCTTAAAAGCCATTTATGAAACAAAACATTTAGGAAAATTTCTGCTATTTAAAAAAATGGCCACTTTGAGGTGAATTCATCAGTGTTAAATTTATTATTCTTTAAACCATACATGGTATATTATATTTTCTCTTTTCTGTATATGGTATGTTTTATCAAAATAGTTTTTAATATTTTCTATTTAGTTTTTAATATAAAATTGAGGAAAAACATATTCTTGAGAATATACTCAGTGGAGCCAGTCATTGGTTCTGATTATAAATATGGATTGTAGCTTGTACATTAAAATTTAATTACTCGTTTTTTGTTGCTTGAATCCTTAAAAATAAAGTGGTTTTAAAGTAACCATATGCTGCATTAAAAAAGAATTGGAATACCCTTGTTCCTTAGTTTTAAATACTATGAAGGCATTTCCTCTGTTCATAGAGAATAGTGTTCCACCTTGAGAAAATTCTGAAGGACGTATACCTAGCTAACTACCACATAAACCCACATTGTAGGAGTGACTGTGCTCACAGCACCCTCCATTCTTCCTTTCTCCTTTTCCCATCCTGAACATGTAGAGAAGGAAGTTTCTTGGCTACTTTTACATCCTCACCACTACCACCTTTTGTTTCCCCAGCCTTTGGAGTTTCTAAAGAATTAGATTAGTTAGCTCCCTGTCTCAGCTACCCACATCCAGTGTCATTCCCTTCTGATCTGATCATCATACTGCAGTTAGTAACTTTAAAAAAAATCTTGCCCAGCCATTCGTAGCTCAGTGGTTGAGCGTCACCTATGAACCAGGAGGTCACGGTTCAATTCCCAATCAGGGCACATGCCCGGGTTATGGGCTCAGTCCCCGGTGCAGTGATGGTGAACCTTTTGAGCTCGGCGTGTCAGCATTTTGAAAAACCCTAACTTAACTCTGGTGCCGTGTCACATATAGAAATTTTTTGATATTTGCAACCATAGTAAAACAAAGACTTATATTTTTGATATTTATTTTATATATTTAAATGCCATTTAGCAAACAAAAATCAACCAAAAAAATGAGTTCATGTGTCACCTCTGACACGCGTGTCATAGGTTCGCCATCACTGCCCCAGTGGAAAAGTATCCTCCAGTGAGGATTAACAGAAAAAATAAAATTAAAAATCAATGAAAAAACATATCCTTGGGTGAGGTTAAAAAAAATAAGTAGCTTAGTTGTTTATTTCAGAAAAGGGAAGGAAGACAGTCAGAGTGATTCCCTAGACCCATTGTTGAGTTGAACTCAAAATACTGCCAGTAGCTTGCTGTAGAACCATTCTTTGATTATTAGTAATCCGTCTTCACATTGTTAAAACTCAAAATGGTATAACAAATCATCAAACTAAACTAGGAAAGTTTGGAATACAGCCTTTTTAAGGATATCTTAAAACTGTGTACCCATAATTAAGGAAGTGATGAATTGCCGTGGTCGAGAAAAAAATCAAAAGACAAAAAGTCAGCAACAGTTCAAATTTACAATAAAATTATGAGATACTAAGGCAAGGAAGAATGAAAAATGAATCTCAAGAGTAAGGACAGTTATGGAGTGGAAGATGAAAAGAACACACGGGCTTTGGACAAAATAAATCCAAATTTGAATGTGAACTCTGCCACAGTTATTTAATTCTGTGTCCACTGTTCTTTCAAACAACATGAGTTGAGTAGCATTGTTTTGAGTAGAATTTCTTTTTCCAGTTTAGGAGGCTACTGATACCCTTTCCAACTTCCAGTCAAAATGTGAAATGTCCTATATCAAAGTATTATATAGTTTAGTTGAAACAAACTCATGTCAGTGATTTGATATTTCAAAGCATGTGTTTAATTTTTTAATTTATCTTTATTGTTGAAAGTATTAGAGATGTCCCCCTTTTTTTCTCCATTGACCCCCTCCACCTTGTACTTGCCTCCCCAATCCCCCCACTCCCCCCCCCCACCCCCGCCCAGGCCTTCACCACACTATTGTCTGTGTCCATGTGTTATGCATTTAAGTTCTTTGGTTTGGCATGTGGATTTTTAAAATGTCTTTCCTCTTGGCCTAGCCGGTTTGGCTCAGTGGATAGAGCATTGGCCTGTAATTGAAGGTCTCGGGTTTGATTCCAGCCAAGGACACATGCCTAGGTTGTGGGCTCGATCCCCAGTGTGGGGTGTGCAGGAGGCAGCCAATCAATGATTCTCTCTCATCATTGATGTTTCTATCTCTCCCCTCTCCCTTCCTCTCTGAAATCAATAAAAAAATATATAATTAAAATAAAATAAAAGGCCTCTCCTCTTAAGTTTTATGTTACCTGTGTTCTCAAAGTGTCATTTTCAAAAATTTCTACTGACTGGATGGAAAGGTAGACTACTAAGTGACTATTTTGTGTGCTCTGAGGAAAGATTGAGGGAAGGCCTATTTCCTTAAAGAAAGTACCCATTTATTTTCTTCTCTGATTCATAAAATGCCTTTAACCAGGACAAAGTTTTTATCAAAGATTACATAAATAATTCTTGAAGGTACTATTTTTTTAACATACTCTGAGCATTCTACATACATTATTATTATTGTTTACTTCTAATTGCAGCCATGTATGATGCGTATTTATCTCCCTTTTATTAAGGAAATGAGCTCTGAGTGGTTAAAAATAATTAACTTATATAATTCTTTATTTTAGTGTTTTTTAAATTCATAAAAGAGGTTCATACCATATGTAATCTTTTGGAACTTTTCACTTATATTGCTAATATCATTGTGTGTGGCTGAAAATTATTTATTTTGACTGTTATATGTTCCATTGGGTAATTATTCATCCATTCTCCCTTGATAGATACTTCAAATGTTTTCATGTTTTTTTCTGTTTTAAATAAATATGAGCACTTCTTATCATAAGATAGGTGAGCACATAGTAAGGAGCCTAAGGGTCTGATGAAAACACAGAAGGATAAGGTAAACCAAAGAGAGATTGGACATAGAAGCAAGATAACCCTTAGTTTCGATAAGTTAAGGTAACTTAGTTTTGTCTATGATCAAATTTGGGCAAAATCTCACTACTGGTGTGCCTGTCGCCTGCCAGGCCAACGCTACTCACCTCCCCCCGGTGTGGCAGGGGAAGTGTTCGTGTTGACCAATTACATCTGTAGCAGGAGGTTTAGTATTAATTTTATACAGGTTTGAATGCTACACTGATGACTAAAGGAAAATTCCTTCCCCGAAGGGCTCCTGGTCTCACGGTAACTATGGTGTGGCCAGCCGAATATGATACCCTAAGTATGCTTTTGGCCTCTGGTATTTTTAGTACAGTGTGTCTTTGTGCAATAGTCCTAAGGTCCCAGGGAGAATGTAAGCCCTACTTTCAAAATTTACTGTAATTTTATTTTATTTCATTTTAATTTTTATAAGAGTGTATTTAAGCCAAACTGATGACATGTGCCCAGGGGCAAGATCTCAGATGCTCTGGAGAATAACAGTTTTGCAGCTTCTTTTATGCATTTGAAGTTCTAAACATTACTGTAATTTTAAATGTAAATTATTCTCCTCAGAAATAATAATTAGTCGATTTATTTTTTGGACGGTGCTGGAAAATAATTGCCAGTGTCGTTAGGTTTAGGGAAAAGTATTCTGTTATCCATTCCTAAATCAGAGGGTTTGTCTAGTTATGTATGGAAATCTGAACAGATGTAACAAATCAGATATTCTGAGAGAAATTAGAATACAAATAACAGCCTTGAGAAAAAGCTTTTTGGTTTATGGGATGTTTGGCAGGAGGACAGAAAGAAGGTTTGAAAGAACGAGTAGGCATGTAGTGGAGTTTTTCACTCCTTGGCATCCTGGGTTGAAATAAGTCAAGGGACAGAACCAAGAACCAGGGAACTTTAGAGCTTCAAAGGCATCATATTTATTGCTGTCTTCTTTTTTTCATTAAGATTTAAACTGATTTTTATTTAGACTTTATCTTATGAGAGAAACCTAGACATGTTTCTTAAAGAGAACCAAGTATAACTTTAAAATCATGATTAAGATGACATGTCCGGTATTCTCACTAAAGAAAGATGAGAATTTCCAGAAAATAACATTAAGCGTATGACCCGTAACAAACCATATGCAGAACATTGGCTCATTGTCAGGTTGCCAGTGTCTTATTAGAAGACAAAGTCCCCAGTTTTACCACACAAGAAAGTTTCCATAACTCAATCACTGAAC